CAACTCCTATCCAAAGTTCAGATATTTAATAAAATACTCAGGGGAGTTTCCTGAATTTTCATGCCCAAAACCAAGCACTAGGCCCTGGGTAAATTAAGAGGCTGATCTCGGGCACTTTTGTCCACTTTCCCTGGTGGTCGAAACTCAAGCCAGACATCCCTGGAATCGTCTCAGAGAGTAGATGATCAGTGGGGCCTTGTTTTTACTGAATGATGTGTTTTTTTTAATGGGGAATTCAAATATGAGCTTATTTTTAGGATTTTCGGAGACTTTGCACACGTTTTCACAAACATTTTCACGCTAGTATATAGAGTATGGGAGTACTTCCATTCGCTTCGCCTTGATCTGTAGATGTGATTTGATGTGTCGTGTGTCTCCCAACTCCTCTCCAAAGTTCATATACTATATAACAATACTAAAAGGTAAATAAAACATTAAACATAATGACAAAATAAGAACCTGAAATATATGTATTCTATCTACACATTTCGTAATTATCTAATCTAGTGGCCTTATAAAAGTGTTGGCTAAAGTAACGCAGAATATATATATTTTTTAATTGTAAATAATTATAAACATTATTTATGTGCACAAGTACATGGGACCCCACCATAGCACCTCACACATAACAAGCTGTCCCGAGTTCCTCCGGCTGCAGTTCCACAGACGGCCGGTGTGTGGCAGCAGAGCGCTGGGAGCAGAGGGAGGTGAGTATATGACGGATATGACGGATGACGGATACGACGGAAATACACCCGAACATATCTGGTACCCCGAACATATCTGGTACTGACACCGGCCGCGGCTATGCTCGTGCACATGCTCGTGCACATGACGAGTATGGATCTCTGGATCTGCTATGCTATTACGGCTCCTCTGAGTCCCCATGAGTCTGCAGGAAGTTTCACTGATCCGCGTCCCCTCCCCTGAGCCAAACGATAACTTCTGGAAGCTATCCTACTTGCTAAAGGGTAGGCAGATGGACTGGGCTAAATTGTAATGTTATTTTACATGTTATAAGGAGAGTAGCAAGTGACGCAATTTATAGTTTTAATTTGTACGTCACACCAGGTGTAGGACTCAAAGGACTCGGGTTAATGGAGAGGGGAGACTCGTCACGACCAGCTCATTTCTAGGATCCGGGTTAATAATCCGGATGAATCAGGACTCGCCCATCTCTACTGTGAAGAGAAGGCTGTCTACCAGCAGAAACTCAGCTAAATGCTGCCGTGATTAAACACCATATCATGTTCCAAATCACATCAAGGATTATTTCTGAAACAGTATGGAGCTCAAACGCTTTCTCTCTGGCAGGTTTACCACAAGGTGAGTACCTTTTAGATTCGGCTTCTTTACACATATTCTCTCCAGTAGCTACAGCATTAGCTCTGTGTGTTAGCGATGCTTGCTAATGTAAACACAGGCCACATTACTTCCAAAACACGTCGTGCATTGTTTCTGATAGAGCAACGCTTCTGATATTGGACAATAGGTTGGGCCGTGGGCGGAACGTTGCTAGGAGTTCAACGTAAAGCCAGCCCACATTTTAGTAATGTCGTCGTCATGACCACAGCAAATCTGGATCAGCTCCGTTGTACTCCCATTTTTAGAGATGTGGGTTCGGAGGAAAAGAGAGAGGGTTGTATTTTCTGACACTTTGTGAGTCTCTTTACACACCGGGGACACATTTATGTATAAAATACATTAAAAAGTGCATTTTGCATAATAGGTGACCTTCAAAGTAAACAATGTGCCATAATCATCCTTGTAGACACAGGAATAAGACATGATGTCCTCCACAGCACAGAGACCCTCTGAAGACTCAGGATCATGTTGAAGAAATGGGGAAGCTCTCGATGAAATCCTTGTCGCCAAAAACAGTCTGGAAACCATCAATGGAAACGTTGGTGCAGCCCTGTTTCCTTAAAGCACATTTAACTACATTCTATCTTAGGACATTAGCTTGTCAGTATTATCATTGTTATCTTACCACATCCATTATGTCTTGCAAACTTTTTCTTTTCAGAACTCAGTCTCTGATTTTGATTTATGGCACATTGAACTCCCACCAGCGGTGCCGGATTCATTTCAGAAGTGGGAGGGGCAAAAAGTGCGTGTGTATTACTCATGGTATTACTATTGGAGCAGTCTACATCTAATAAGAGGAGAATATGTTTGAGCAGTGGGATGTGTTTACTGAGACATTTATCAAATAAATTGTAATTTATTTGGAGGATTTCATGTCTTTTCACAACAAACAAGTTTAGATTTTGTGACAAAACATCTTCATTGTAGGCGCTTCACGGCTGAAAAAGACTAGCAGAGGATGGTTTCGATCCATTGACCTCTGGGTTATGGGCCCAGCACGCTTCCGCTGCACCAATAGATGCATTGATGTTATTTGTATAAAACATACGCCTCAGCAATTGTTACGGAGGTGGTACCTTGTATTTATAAATGCAAAATGGATTGAAATGTTGCTTGTTGGAAGTATATTGCCGCCTGTTACGTTCCCTATTGGGCTAGGGCAGTGCTTCTCAAAGTGTGGTCCGCGGACCACTGGTGGTCCGTGAGCGCCCCCTAGTGGTCCGTGAGTATATTGGTAACATTTCACATTTTAAATAAATAAGTTAATTTAAGTTTTCCACACTCTCGCAGGAATATCTCCGCAATGGAGCAAGCTTTACTTTCGATTGCATGATATAGCCCAGTGCAACACCTTCGTCACACATGTTGCCGCCTGTTTGTACCATTTTCAGGCGATTTGTAATCTGTTCTAGAAAAACTATGTGTTTTTGGATATTTGTGGAGTTAGGTGGTCCGCGAGTGTTTTTGTATTGGTTAAGGTCCTTGGTATGAAAAAGTTTGAGAAACACTGGGCTAGTTGGACCAAAGGGACACGACACGACCAGATTGGAATTGGTATGTGTTACCGGTGGTTTATTTGTAAACAAAACAATTAACACAATAATACATACGAACAGCCTGGACCAACAACGGACCAAACTGTTACGATTTAACAAAAGGAGAACTCCAAAAGAGAGTTGCACAATATGATACAAAAGAAAGAAAGTACCTCACTTCTAAAGTGGAACAAAACACTAAACAAAATGAGGCGGTGTGGGAACACAGCGGTGGCTGGTCAACAGGTGCTAATCACCTGGGTCTAAGCAATACTTCCACAAATGCTGATCTACAGGCGCTAAGCTAACCTGGGTCTAAGCTGTTTCACAATGTCAATCATCCTAAATGCTGTTATACAGGAGCTAAGCAACCTGGATCTAAGCAATACACACACACAAACCCTATACTAAACACAGAACACTACGACACACTGCTAATCAGTGTGCACGCACAGAAACCCTACTGAACACACTGCTAGGCAGTCTAACGAAGCACAGAATACACACGGCTAGGCAGTCTAAGGAATCACAGAATATGGCAGTATCACAATGAGAGGCTTGAGGCGTCTGTCACACAATACAGAGCCTCCAGAATGATGTCCGTGCCCGGCCTTTGTACTCCTCCCCCGGATGAAGTGGCAGAAGCGGGCGGTGATTGGGTGACGTCCGTCCAATCACCGCGGATGTTGCGAGGTCGGGACGGCCAATGACAGCAGAGGAACTGCACAGCGCATTTACATATGCACACACAGAGTTAATGGCATAACGAAAGTAGCGGCTGTAACACCGCCATAATCCGCGGGCATTTAAAATCAAACTTCACTTAGCACGCCCCCTAACCATGGTGCTACCTAGTTCGGCTGTCCAAAGAGTACAGGGGAATTATTGAAACGGGATGTAGTGTTCCGCGGCATCCGCCGCTGCGAAAATGTGGGGCAGGGCTGTAAAGTAGGGGGGGCCAATGGCCCCTTGGCCCCCCTGTTTCCGGCGCCACTGACTCCCACCATTCACTATAAGCACCTCCCTGTCATGAATGCTTTAAAAAAGACACTGTCTGTTTCATATATCCATTTGTCATCACATTTCATTCTCTGTGATGGCAGGACTTTGGTCTAACCTTAGAGTGAGTGGCCTTTCACTTCAAGAATAAAAGTTAATTTAATAATTTAAAAGTGTAAGAACTCATACTCATGCATTCCTCATTCAGACACACAAGAAAATAAATATGTTGCCACACAAGGCAACATATTAGTATAATGCTATAGGATGTGCAGTTTTATAATGAAGATTGCTGCTTTGGGTTTTTCAGTTCTTGACATGGTGTATTAATAGTCAGAACAGTGTTTGGTTTTTCAAAGCAGAATGTGAAAACTAAAGAAAGGCTGCAGATAAAAAACGATAACAGCTGAGTGACATCCTTAGACATCCTGTAGGAAAGTCTCTGGAGACCCTTCCTCCTCTTCCGTCATTGATGCTTTTAATAGACTGTTTTATTAACTCTAAAATAGATGGGTGTTTTTTCAAATATCCCTATGTATTAAAACCATACTTGTCACTTGCTTTTGGTCATTGTATCATTACATGTTATCATGTTACCAGCATGTCGTGAATAAAAACGGTAATATTCTATTCTGATATTCTGATACTGGTTTGTGCTTTGGGTCTCCAGAATCCTTTTACATTTTTAAAGACACACAAGTGAAACACATTGCTTAATTTTTCATTTTCTAATCTTGACACAAGGAAATTGTCAAATATGTGTAGTCTCATTGAATGTACTACAGTTCCGACTTGCATACCTGTGCATGTAATGCTTAGTATTTTTCCAGGAAGGCGAAAAACATATTGGCAATGTTTCCTAGAAGACAGTGACGCTGCACTGAGCTGGAATTTCCTTCAATGAAACTACATAAAGTAGTTCAGCATCAGTGGAAACGTCCCCATCCGTGTGAATGAGATCAGTAGATTAACCCCAGCCACCCCCCCCAAACCGCTCCCCCCACCCTGCCATTGGTTCCTTCCCCCCCGCCCCGCCCCGCCTCTGCTCCAGCCTTTAGCCGGGCCACCTTTAATACCGCTGCACTACAGCCGCAGCTCCAACAGGAGACATAGTGAGACGGACTGGTGCCGCTGACCGGGGACAAGCTTACTGCCCCTACACAGAGAACAGGCGCAACAAGGAACACTGCGGGAGGATCACTTTGTACCGGCACACACCCTTCATGTTATGGGATTAAAGCGCACAAAGACACACACCGGTGCGTAAAGTTGATGCGCTGATCCGCTGCTCCAGAGAACATTACCACTGAGGTCCAGCAGAGTCTTTGTCTGCGGAGGGAGAGCTGTGCAGCGCGGCTGGAGACATCGGGAGGCTCCCTGTGAACGCGCCACATGCGTGTGGAAGATATGGATTTGCTTTGGCTATAGCCCAGATGTGCCGCGGTTTTTTTATATTTAAATATTCATTTTTTCATCCTTGGACTGTGTGCGTGGTGACATTGTTAGATTGTATTTCTCTTTAACGAGCGAAGAGATATCAAGACTAAATCGTGCGGAATTACAACCATGAACTGTGTTGTCAGTTTGGTACACATCCTTTTGGCAGCGGTTCTTCACCTATCCACAGTAAAGGTAAGCCTTTCATGTTATATTGATATCATTCATTTTACTATTTCACACGTGCTTTACCAGCTTTCTCTATTCTCAGTGGTTTTAGATAGTGAGTTGCCAAACACTGCTCACATGCACAGAGAATAAACATGCAGGGAACATTTTCTAATCATTATAAATAAAAAGTAAAAATGTAGATTATTTAATATAGTTTTGTTACATTATACACTATCAGCATTTTCTATATAAAAGCCTTCTTTCTTACTTTGTTCTAACCTCAAAAAGTCCATCAAAGATCAGCATGGTTATAGTTTGCTTTATACATGCAAAGAGAAATAAGTATCTTAATTTGCAAGACAATACAATTATGAGCACTGCAAATACACTTTTTATCTGGCTTCTCCAAATAGTGCTTGCTGGATTACCCTTTAGGATTCTCCAAAAGTTTCTTGGTCATTGCCAAAAAATATAGGCTACAATATGGTTGCTTTAAACTGGGAGATTTGTGAATGGCGTTGTACAGTCAGTCCCCCGGGGCTCCAGGGCTCAGTGTTCCCACGGGGATCCGGCAGTGCGAGGCCGAGCCCTCCCCCGGCACGGCTCCCCGCAGGATGCCCCCTCGCTCCCACACAGGCCGATCCGCTTTCTCACGCAATCCCTGCGCCGGTTGCAGCAGCCACCACATAAGGTGAACGGAGCTCTGCTTGGGGGCCGGTTCCCCAACGTCATCTTTTTTTTACTATCAAAATAAAGGCCGGTTCCCGTTAGTCCTTTCAAAATAAAACTATATGTCTTGAAACCCTATGAATTGAATGCTTGTAACCAAATGTCCTCTCCTGTTGCTTTAAAAGAACGTATTTTGAATATTGCTAGGGTTTATTTATTTCTTCTTCAAATTATCTACTATGGAATTATATCTGTAAACTGTGACTTATATTTCCACATTTCAAATAAGTGTTTAGCATTTCAATGTTAATGTCTTTCTGTTCTCTTTTGGTAAACATACATTACGATAAACTGGTTGCAGTGCTTTTATTTTGAAAGTCAAGCAGCCTCACTCCTGAGCTGCTTGTCTGACCATCTGATGAATGAAAAAGGTATAATGGAGAATAAGGCATACAACAAAAACATTTACACATTTATCCAGATATACATTATAGTTATGATTGTAACAATTTGATATAATCCTAAATTAATAAACTGAATTAAAAACCTTTATTCTTTGTTGTACTTCAATTAGTTTAGTCAAAATAAATCATTTGGGTTTCATAGATGCATGCAAATATGAAATATCTAACACCTGGTCTGATGTGCATCTCTTACAGACTGCCAGCATTACCAAGGGAGCGGAGAAGAGTAAAAATGAGGGTAAGTTTCCACAGAGCTGTTTGAACTCTTCTTCTTTTCCGCTGTGTGCATGCAAGATGAACAGGGCCACCTAGTGGACATGGGCTGTACATTTACTGTACTAGGCCTCAGATTTACTTAGTTTAAAACAAAAACAGTTTGACATATGGAAGGGATATGTAGGTATTTGTGTAGGCTGAGTGAGGATTGTTTTTCTGTCCCAAGCTGAGAAGAATCAAAGTTTCCAGCGGTGAAAGGTCTCACTGGGGACTTTGGAGTCGCCATAAAAAGTGCTGCAGATTTCAAAACAAGAATACATGGGAGAGAAAAGGAAGTCAATGCCTCAGCAATAACTGGGAGTTATTATATGTTTCTACTTTCTCTTCTCCCAACAATCTATGGTGAGATATCAGTCGATACACGAGCAGTCAGCCTTGGTTCAATGCCGCACTCGTGTTTGTTTGAAAGTGATACTGTTGTGTGAGGCCAAGGTTGGTTGGTCTGTTGGCTGGTGATGGATGGAGACACTGATTAGTCTTTACACACAGCATCAGTGGACAGGTTGTGGGATGGATTTTAGTGTTTGTAAAGGAGACAAACACACACACTGTGATAAGGTAGTGGCCTGGTTATATCTGGGGAAGAGCTCTGAAATGAATAACATTGGTACGCAAACATCTGGTGCTCGAGTAACTTTTTGGGGTAGAAGGATGGTGTTGGAATAAATTAGTTTACACTTATTATTAATTTTCGGAGCCTTTCCATCTCGGGGTTAGGGTAATTTAACCTAGGAATTTTACTTGGGTCATGTGATAATGATGGAAACCATGAGATGGAGTTGAAAGCTCCATCAAAACCCAATGCCCCGTGCTGATTGTTAACAGTGTGGCTCATTCATGTGTCTCTAATAGTGTTGGGACATGAATGGAGATAAATAGCACAGGGGAAGGTTATATATCAGACCGCACACATAATACTTGTTTGTTTACTGTTTTTTGTATGAATAGAAACATGTATAACCAGAGTAACTGTTACAGGCTGATGTAAGACAGAGCAAATGTTTGCAACCTCTGTCAGGAGGTAGAACCAGTTGAGTGTGTTGACATGAGGCTCGTGAAGTAAATCCACCCAGCAGGTGCTAATGATTTAGCTGCTCTTTGCAGCTGGCCTGGAGCCAGAACTGCATTTTTAATCTTTTTATTATTTGTAAATCTGATGTAACACCTAAGAGTCTGTAAAGTCACCTTATCAAGTTTCAGGTAAAGTAACAACATGCCCAAGCATCAATGTGGGTATTATTTGTAGCATTTCTTTAAATCATAAAGCTCCCACAGTCTGTCTGCAGCGTTAGTCCAGAGGCAGAGCCGGCACATGGGGTGGGCTTCCCGGGGTCACATGTCAGAGGTGGACCCTGGCGCCACAGAGCCTGAGGTCATGGCTGCTCTGACTAACCAGGGGTCAGGAGTTAGCTGGGGGTTGCTGGGAACCTCGTCTAATGGACTGTGGGACGGATTATTCTGGGCTGCGCAAGGAACAGAAATACAGAGGGGGCAGGGCACTCATTAGGCTTGAGCTCGGTATTAAAGGGTTCTGTCGGACATAGCTATCACAATTAATTCTGTTCTTTATCTTCAATTATTACTTGATGCTTGTGTTTCATGTCAAAACTTTGCTTTGCACTCTTCCTGCAGTGGATATACCTTAATTTCACTGTGACAAAACGGTGTGCTAACTAAGTGTTGCTTCTCCATACCAACTATGTTGCTGCTTCAGTGTAATAATTGCCACTCAAATATTCCATAATATCTGCCATTGCACTTATTGGCTTATCTACTCTATAGTCACATGGTCATATTTCCCTAGTTATCTACTCCTTAATGTAGATTTATCTTATTTTATGATCTTTTTAACACTTGCACACATTACTGGGAGTTTCTTAGAGCATTGTCAAACATGTCATGTATTTTCCCACCAAACAGTTGACAGTTAAGATTTTCACCACCACAAAAAAGTCATTGGTGTCCCAAGCCACAGATCTGTGGAGCTGCTTAATGAGCTTGGTATGCTATTTGGCATCACCTAGGTATAAATAGCTGTGTTGTAATTATTTCCACATTTGAAAGAAAGGGGCTGAATTCTTTATTACATAATATAATATAATATTTACTTTCCACAGAGGCTTCTTCGGTTTCCCCAGTCATCCCTCTCATAGATGTCTTCACTAAGAGTTTGTGTCAGCCCAGGGAGGTGCTGGTGGACATCTTCTCGGAGTATGCGGAGGATACGGAACACACCTACATTCCCTCCTGCGTGGTGCTCAACCGCTGTGGAGGCTGCTGTAGCGACGAAGCATTGGAGTGTGTTCCTACGGAAACACACAACGTCACGATGGAGGTGAGCATGGGGGGAGGACATCATATAATAATCTTCAGGTTCATAATTGTATTTTGTCTCTCTACTGTGACACGTCTCCATGCTTTAATGTTCAAAAGCTCTTTATTTTTCTCATTCACCCTCTGCCTGAAACCACAGCCCAGTCTGCTCTGATTGGTTTGCTGGTTCTCTAGCCAATAGAAGCGCCCTGTTAAAATAGTGATGTAATTATGTTGCGGAAGTCACAAAGGAGTTAAATGGAGGCATTTAAGGAGGATACTGTAACAGTATACAGGAAAGGGAAACCCCAAAAAGCATAATAGGGCCCCTTTAAAGTTATGTTAATGTCCTGTTTATTACAGGACACTGTGTAATGTGTGCCCTTCACATAACACAAAAACATCACTTTTTTAATTTACACATTTAAGTGTGTCTTTAAGCACTTAATAATTTGTGTGACTAGTTAAACTAAGCTTATGGTTTTCATCAGCAGATGGACTTCAGTTGGTATGGCTCAGTCGTCACTATATGATCTATTTGAGTTGTAGGCTAACACATGACTGTAATTCCACACCTTGGTCCTTGTCACCACTGATCTATCTCTATGAATGCTTCAAACACTGATGAGGACCATGACATTGAGGGATTCAGAGAGCTAGTCAGAGGAGCGTGTGTTGAGATGATTAGGGTTAGTAGGTCTTCAGGCATTATGGATGTGGTCAGGCCAAGGTTTTGTTTTCTGCTCACTATGTGCATGTCTGAGACACAAACACAGAGCAGAGAAAGTGCGGCTGCGAGGCATCTCAGATATGTTGTTTACCTCCACACACGCTGTGTTTACAGCCGTGTCTGTGTGGTCAAACCTCTCCCTTCCTGCAGAAGATAGGAGAGTCCCACAGACAGGTCATGTCTGTGGTTACACAGCGGTCAGGGCTGTGCTGTTTAGACTGTCTGTTACCAAAAGTCATGTTGATGTTGTTTTAATCTAAACCTTGCCTCTGTTTCTCTTCAAGGTAATGCGTCATAGACCAATGGTAAAGAAAGGCACTATTCAATTAAGTTTCACAGAGCACAAATCGTGTATATGCAGGTAAGAGACTGCACACCTCACTCACAGTGACAGTGATGGAATAAAAACAAAATAATTAAATCATCTTCTTTTTAATTCATTTCAGACAAAAGCCAGATCTTCCAGTAAAGAAAGAATAGTAAGTACGTGTTTTTTGTGTTTTGTCATGTGTTTGATGAGTTTCTGTGGGGGTTCTGGTTGGTTGGTGGCTGGGAGCAGGGTCAGCAGCAGCTGGAGGCTGGAAGGAGCTAACTGTGCTAACAGCTGAGTCAGCAGAAAGGCTTTCTGACAGAAACTCTGTCTTTATGTGGGATGCACTGAATTAGTGTAGAAATAGTTTTAAGATGAAAAAGTAGGGCTCCTTCAAGTTGTGACAGCATCTTTTTCAAGTTGGGGTGAATATTGAATTCATATCTAGATCTGGGTTTACCTTTGAAATACTTTTAACTTTAGTTAAAAACTGTTTTTGGCAAAAATCCATTCAAGCTCTTTTCCTCCAAAAGGGGTAACATTTAGTATTACTGTTAATCCATAACAATTTGAATGAGTAATAAGATGTAATACATGCTTCTAGCTTCTTGAATCCTGGATAAACTGCACAGACCTTTCCAATTCCAGTTTAGTTCAAGAAAAAGTGACCATGAGTGGTGATGCCACAATTTAGGAGGTCAAAGTATGTCATCCAACTCAAACGCACTCATATGTTCCATCATGTGTCCTGTAGATGTTGGAGGTAGCGAGCTATCTTTACAGGGCTCTCACACTTTGAGCGTGCTCTTTTTATGGTGCCAGGGTTTAGTGCTTTATGGTGTGACTATAACAGCGTGAGTGATCGAGGCGTAGCCGCCCGGCTTCAGACCACCCTTGGCTGACTCCAGTTGCACAAACCTGACCCTCGGCCCTCTGTAACTTCCCCAGGCTAATCATAGCAACAGGTGTCATGCCGTTAACCTATTTTTATTTTAAGTGGTGTAAATAGAGGATGAGCTTTGAGGGAGACGTGCTGTAGATTGAGAGAACTCCCTCGCTGTCACAGCTGACACAGGGCAGTGTGTGTGTCGGACAGATGCATGCATGTGGTGTGTGTGTCTTCTGAGCGGCAGGTCAGCTCGGTAATTGGATAAGAGGGGGTGCGTGTGCCGATCGGCGGGATAAAACCTGACGGATTGGTGGAGGAGAGATTGGATCATGTTGGCTAAGTCCAACCCGTTTGTCATGGGACTCTGCTGATCCTGGGCCAGCCTTGTTGGGTGTCTGCCTGTCACTGTGCACGTAGGCAGCCAGGCAGTGGCAGGGTGGAGGGAGCAGGCAGTGACGGGAACATACGCTCCGGTACACCTTGCCCAGTGCTATCTTATTGATCACCCCCGCTAATGAGAAGATTAGGGCAGTTATGTTGGGTCATTAGCTCCCATGGTTTGTGGACTATATACTGAACTCCGCAGGGGAAATGTGCTCTTCTCTTCCTCCTGTGTGTCAGGAATATTGACCGGAAACCTTTTAAGTTAGTCTTTTGTAGACAGTTCACAGTGGTGGAAGGAATATTCAGACTTTATGCTTAAGTAAAAGTAGCAATACTAAATAGTAAAAATGCTCTGTTACAAGTAGAAGCCCTGTATTCCTTCTTTTTTTTTTTTTTTAAATAACTACAAAACAATCCATAAATCACAAAAAAAGGGAAAAAAAGTCTTGCATTAAATATCTTACTTAGAGGTAGAGAGGGTACAAAAGTATTGGGATCAAAATATATTTAAAGTAAGTAAAAGTACTCATTATGTGGCTTATTTACTATTTTGTATTTGCTAATAATCCCAGTAGTTGAGTAGAAGTATAATTTATCATAACAGTAACATACACAGATAAAGTACACACACTTTGAATACAAAATGAATCTTTTAAAATCACCTACCGTGGTGGTAGGTGTCATATCATTTTAATGTCCAATTTCAGATTTGGTTGATTCATATTACAGTACTCACATGTTGTGTGTTCTATTATGTAAACAATATCTGAGTCAAAAATATAATACTTGAGTAAATGTACTTGGTTACAATCCACCACTGCAGGTCCCATGTTTACCTGCTTATCTGCCCCATGATTTTCCTTCACTTCTAAATGAATTTCCCATGGCATATGTCACGTTATCTCTGAGTTATCTGTAAGGCTGTCTGCTGGACTGTACTGTGCTGCTCTGATAACTTCTACTTTCTGTTGGGGGTTTATCTGCCGCCATGTTTGCTTTTGTTCACGAAGATAGATGGCCACAGCGACAGTTGCAGTGCTACACACACGCGAGTAAGATCACTGCAGCCTTGACAAGTTCACAGATAAGTTCTGCTTTGGGTTGCTTTGCTCCTGTTTTTAAAAAAGGAGGCGATACAGGATTGATTCTGCAGATTGGTTGTACAGTTTAAGATCCGAGACTAAGCATAGTTCCATTTTGCCCCATAGCCACTCCCCCTATATATCTACTTCTGTCCTTGATGTGTCTCTGGCGTGACCTTCCATCTCATAAACTGAGCACTGTAACAGATACTGAAGCGGCTATAGTGTCTAGCTCAACGTCAAACTGTTAGATGCTCATTTCTCATCTCTGTGCCTCCCATGGGTGACCCTGCTGCCTCAGTTCACCCTTTAAGTTTAGATTGTAAAGTGTTGGGTGGAGTTGGCTCAGTTTGCTTTTGGCTCCAGCTGCTTGTTTTAAAAACGTGCAAACCCAGGCACCAACTTCTTATGCTGTCAAGTGTTCCCTCTGCTCCTACCCAACAAAAAGCTGTCATGTAAATAAAGACACAAACTCAGACTGCATCCAATACATTTTATTTTTAGATAGATAGATAGTTTATTCATCCCAAATTGGGAAATTGTTTTGTCACAGCGGCTGTGCATTTGACAAGTTAAACATTATTTAAAAGATAAAATAAGATACAAATATAACAATCATTTAAATTAACATTATCAGCAAGTATATACAAATGTACAATAGAAAAGACAAATATAATACTGAAAATAACTGAAAGGTTGACTTTAATTTAATGTTAGTTGAAAGCAATACTATTAAGTTTGAATACAGAATATTAGGTTCAACTTAATATTATTGCTTTCAACTAACCTAATACAGTTATGGGAAATGTGTTGACATAATACATTTAATTCAAGTCAATATTCAGTTTTTCCAGTGCACTAGAGCAGGGGTTCCCAAAGTGGGGGTTGTGAGATGATTTAAAAAAAAAATATATATATATATATTTTTCAGTGGCAGACTGGCCATCTCTATAATGTCCCCGCAGCGAGGCTCCCCCCGTTGATAATCCACTAGCGCAGTGTTTCTCAAACGTTTTCATACCAAGGACCTCTTAACCAATACAAAAACACTCACGGACCATCTAACTCCACAAATATCCAAAAACCATAGGCTTGCTCACCACTCCAACAGTACAACAAAGTACAGCCTAATAACTACAGCTTAACTTCTCTATATCGCCTCGTTCACACATTAAATCAACAATACAAATACAACTACAGATTATATAAGCATTTAGTTCAAATGCGATTAAAAATGCTCAGGTTTTACACCTCATATAAAATTTAGACTACATTTATTACTGAGTTTATGTCCGAGCCAACAGACTCACAGATCGTTGGCTACTGAGAGAAATGCAAAATGCATGTAGTACGACACAAGCCTCCGCTGTGGATTTTCAAAACAAAATACAGTAAAACTGTGGTCGCATGCCCAAGTTGAACTCTCTGAGGTCTAAGCCATATTTTCACATGTTAGGCTCGCCTGGGCTTTTTTTGTAAAAATGCGATTAAAATATGAACCTTGGTGACCATCGGGCAAAAATAAAAAAACGTTTATGCAGCCCCAACAACAGCCTCTGGTCTTCAACAGACTTCATGCAATGCTTCATTGTATGCATATATTAGATAATAATCTCTATCTCACTCCTAACACATCTAAATCTACTTCCAGCATGGATCAATGTTCATAAAACACATCCATTGTTTGTTCTAAAAACACATAGTTTTTCTAGAACAGATTGCAAATCAGTTTCAGGGGTCGCCAGTGTCTGGCACTGTTATTTTGGAGGTCGCGTCTGAAAAGTTTGGGAACCCCTGCACTAGAGTATCTAAATAATACACAATATACTGAATACTTGAGAATATACAATCTCACTAAGCTACAGAAATATATAGAATTATACTTCAGACACACATTACATTTACTTGGTTAATATGCTGTTATTTGTTGAAATATAATGTTGGGACTGAGTATTTTGGTGGAAGAGCAGGATAACAACAATAGAAAAAGTGATGTTGGCTTTCCTGGACTTTCAAGACTTTAGGACGATTTTGCATGAGTGTCTGTGTCTGCCCTTTTCTGCAGAATTCGCTCTATAGCTTAGATCTCTCTCTGTCTCTCCCTTTTTGCTTCCCTTGCAGCCACTGTGCGCCTTGCTCAGAGAGAAGAAAGCGCTTGTTTGTGCAGGACCCTCTCACCTGTAAATGTTCCTGCAAATTCACACAGTTAGACTGCAAGTCCAGGCAACTTGAGTTAAACGAAAGAACTTGCAGGTTTGTTTACCATACATACTCGATAAACAACGTGCCTTTAAACCCCCTTTATTATTTTCTCCCCCCCTACCTGTCTACCCATCTCTGTGCTTGCTGCAAAGCTTGTTCTCCTGCTGAGGAACGCATGCTTCTCCCTGCTTCTTGGTCCTGTGTTGGTGTTTGGGAATGTGGCAGCTCTGTGCTTCTCTGTGCTTGCATTGTGTTTTTGCGCAGTCACGTCAGATTTGTTCATTGTTTGATGTTTTTAGATCCAAATGTAGTTTGTATCCAGTCTGAATGCTCAAGATGTTATTGCTTGCATGACCCTATGTTATTATACCAGGGTTAGAAACTCCCAAACGTCTAGTTAGATTGATATATGTTTATGACAGAACGTTTTTCTTAGTTTAATAATGGACTTTATTTTAGCTAGATGAAAAAACACAATATATAAGGGAAAGGATTTTGTGGTTTTATAAGCTTAAGAGTGGAGCATTATGCATATAAAGGGTTGGTTAACCCATCTTTTCACACACTGGTATCTAGCTTTGCAGAGACTCGATGCTTAGAGATATCCACTTCGTGCCACCCTAATACAATAGTAGTGAATGTAATCTAATTTGGGATGCTGGAAAAATTGTCTTTATGCAGAAAATCCCCATCAGTTAGCTTTTTTCTCATACTGAAAAATCTCCATTTGCTGCTGAAGACTTTGATAAAAAGACAGAAAGCACCGGGGGGAGAAGTTAGTAAATGATGCACGTCTTTAGTGTTTTATTGCCATAGTTAAGCAATACAACAGTACATTGGAGACAAGACAGTGATAATATCTTAATCAATCTGTGAGGGAGTTTTAATCTGGCTTTGTTACCAGTAGACAATGAGTTTGTAACAATGTCCATGATGTTCCACTTTTCAAAGCAAAGCAGGTGTTCATGCTTCAGTGCTTAATACTTTTACTCGGAGGGGGTTTCACTCATTCTGTACTGTTTGCAGCACAGCTGACAGAGAGGTGCTGCCCCTAGTTAACAAGGTCTCACTACCTCCCCTGACCCAACCACTTCCATAACCTCTGACCCCCCAAGCCCCCCCACCCCCCCCCCCCTGAGGGATCTCCCACACTGATTTGGATTTGCAGAGCCAACACACTCCTGGGTGAAGTGACCACTGAGAGGATTCTGATTGGTTGGTCAGTGGTCAGGAGAAATAGTGCAGGCTGACCTAAGGATGGGGGGGGATCTCTGGAAGTGGGGTTAGGTGCCCGTTCAACCTCACCACTTAAACCTACCCCCAATTCCAGCTATAACCCCCACCCTGAACCCAGAAAACACACACGTACTGTTTATGGCTTATTTAATTGAAAAGACCACACTTTCTTGTAGAAAAGGTACATTTTATATATAGCAGAAAAAGTACCAGGAGGTGCAAACTGACCCAGATCATACATCCCACAACCCCGACCCCCCCCTGACTATCCCCTTTTGCTTTTGCTCTGCCCCTGCCTTTATATAATCCCTCGTTTTGCATGGAGCAGTTGTGTGTGAGACATCGTGTTGATCATATTCTGAGACTAGGCTGTTTAAAACAAATATTCTGGCATCATCTAACCAGATTTGTTCCTTGTCTTCCACAGATGTGAGAGACCGAGGAGGTGAGACCAGCAACACTGTTATGAAGGAATTATTTTCTTGGCTCAGCACTTTGAAAACCTGAGGATGCATTCCCTGCCAGGACACGAAACGACAACGCAAGACAGGACATTCTTAAACGCAACTCTTGCCAGTGTTTGTTTTCCGTATAAAGATATTAATATATATGTACATATACTATAAGTACATCGACAATGTGTATTGCTGCTACGTAAAAGAGACACTATTTAAAGCAAAACGAATGCGCCACTGGCGTGTGAACGGGAAATGTTTCAGTGGCGTTCTGCTCATGGGTAGAATTTGTAGAAGAGATTTTATGTGACATTTCACTGGATGCTGGTCTGCTGTGGATATCTTAAAAATATTTTTTAGTAACAAAAACGAGCAGTGCAGCAGGAGCCGAGCTCCCCCTCCAAACTCTGACAAAGGAGACTTGAAGAAGAAGAAGGAGGAGGAAGAAGAGCCTCTGTTGTACTTGAACTGAAATGCAGGTCCAAGAACTGTTTCCCTCTGAGACATGATGTGAAGCTTTGTCCCCACTGTATGGACCGACTCTGTGTGGAAACACACCTGGAAAGTCTCTCAGAGTTTCCTGAAGTAACTGTGGATGCAGGTGATGTGCCGTGGTGACGGATAAATGTGAAGATGACCTTCTTTCCTCGTGGGAGGGTTACGTGACAATGGCAGGAACTGAACCAAAGAGTAGCTCATGGGGAAGACTAGCAAGTACACATATTTTATGTTAAAAAATATGAAAATTAGGTTAGTGTTCAGGTTTTAAAGTTAATAAACCACTTCCTGGTTCTGGTTCCGCCTCCTTCATGTAACCCTTTCCTCGATTGGAAACCAGAGGTGTCTCTCTCTTTGTGCACAGAGTTTATCATTTACATTTTGAGGTATTGTGTTTCTTCTGTGACCAGGCTGTCTACAGGGATATTACTGTAGGTATATACGGAGACAAGAAGTGAACAGACAAGCTGATCACATCAGATCAGCACCTCACTGTACAAATCCACAAACTTCCGTATTTAATGGCTTTGTGTGTGTTCCAAAGAAAAAATCAGGCATCCACAGAAAACCTAAACGATCTGTATATACTTACTAGATATCCCTTTGTCTCGTACACTTCATTTTTATTTATAGAAAATCCTCAGTATTCTGCATACTGATATTTATATTCAGTGTTAAGGTTATTTTTTAAAGTGTATTATCGGAGATTGAATGGAGAACGCGTATGACTGTTGACTCCTTTTCTGTGGGAAAAAGGACCGATGCTTTGACATTCCTGATTTAAACTAAAGCTGTTCCTCAGCGGCAAGAGGGGTGGGGGAGGGGGATTATGGTGGGCCTGTTGACCGATATTAACCCCTACCACCAACATGTGCATGAATGATGCGCCAACACAGGTGTTTTTCATTTTGGACTGGGGACATGGACATGTGGTTTTGCACTTGTTGGCCCAAAGGCACATGGAAGACTGAAGTAGTCTGCTGCTCAGCTCGGACCTAATTTAGTGAAGACTGTCCAATCAGACGGGGGCCTCCAGTCTGACGGTGGTAAACTGGCACGGTGTCTCAATGACCTCAACCCAGCCTAATTCTTAAGTATTACACTGATGTGTGCTTCAGTAGCCACTTGGCACAAATTACCGTAATGCTACATTTTGACGAATGAGAAAAGAGCTTCCTCATTGATGAGCCATAATAGAGGAGAAAATAGGATATAAAGTTGGTAATGATGAAGAAATAGTATAATATAATTTAAAAATACTTTACAGATGTTTTATACTATATAGACTAATTTAAATGTAAGGTCACTGATGTGCCTCCATATATTATGTATATCATTTTCAATATATCTGGCTCAGATCGATGTTTGGGAGCTGTGCTTTTACATCTATTCTGATACAGTTTTTTCTAGTGGCGGAGGAAACAAATGAAAATAATCTATTTCTGATTTTATCTCAATTATATGTAGCCTGACAGTCATTCAAATGTACACTTGAAAAACTGAAACATTAACTTTAATATCCTCTTATATCAATATTTCACATAACTGTATTAGGTTAGTTAAACTTAATATTATTGATTTCAACTAACCTAATAGTTATGTGAAATGTGTTGACATAATACATTAAATGAATGTCAATGTTTCAGTTTTTTCAGTGTGTGAATGCTAATTGGACTAGCTCCTCAAACTTGAGTCCTTTTCCCTATAGAGAGGTTGTAGCTGAGCGTCGGTCTGCCACCCTCACACTGAGGCCTGAGCGTGTTCCCTGAACGCACCCTCCACTTCTCTGATGACGACAACATTCTATTTGTATTTAAAAGACTTTCTTGAGTTTGTACAGCCACACATTTTAGTATATTTTCACATTAATATATTTATTGCTGTAAAATGTTTTACAATATTAACTCTTTGTTGTTTTTAGTGTAAGTATTAAAACATAATATTTATTTTGAAAAAAAAAAAATCTGTTCTTATTATTGTCTTTGAAAGCTTGCGTTTTTAGTGTGAAAACCTTGTCGGATACAGCTGAGTGGAACATTACAGGACAAATATTTCACATCCTGTTGATCATTAACAGACATGATCTGTTGCCGGGTACAATAGTTTGTTGGTGTACATTTCCAGCAAAGTGTAGCAAGATATTTCTAAAAATAATTTATATGTGTTTGATATACTGTATTTTAACTGGATGGGATTACATCATAATTGTTTTATAATGCTACAGTAGTTTCCATTGTATTCTCATGTGCTACTGTTTTGAAGTCTACTTCAAAAAGTAGGTCTCTCAAAGTCATGTTGTAAACTGCAATTTGGCAAGACTGTCAATAATGTTTTTTTTTCTTTTTAAAAACAAGGACAACCTTTTCATAATCTCAACCAAGAACACAGTGTTTTCTGTACCTAAAACATAGGTGAAGTCTCTTTGACACCACCCAGAGTTTTCTGATGAGGGCAATGGAGGTCAAAGTGTTTGGCTCTGGCCTTAGTCATCTTGGCAGTGACAAGACCACCTGACTCCCAGTCTCATTCATAAATGCAGAAAGAGGTAGATCATTATTTGATTAGTTGAGTTTCAACCCAAAAATGACATTTAGAAAAAAACAACTGTTTTTTGTACCCGGCTATAAACATGTTTGTAGCGGCTGTCAAGTTAGCATTTTAGCTTGGGGGTCTGTGGGGATTGACTCCCTTTTGGAGCCGCCCCTTCAGGCCACTTGAGGAACTACAGTTTTTGGCATTTGGGTGTTGGCTTCGTCTTTCATCATTGGGTGTCCACAATCGTCCAGGTGCTGCCAAAAAAGTGGGCGACAGAAAGGACCAGGTCAGGTCACTCCCATAGCCAAAAGGCCGCTGGGGCACTTTGATGACATCACTACTCGTGCCAAAACATCTCCATCTTCCACCCAAAAAATAAATGTCAGTTCATGGTCGGGCTGTCGGTCACTAAACCGCACACAACTCCAGGATCTTTGAGCTGTGTGTGTGTATTGTGTGTGCACCTAGTAGGACTGTCAAAGGGTGGATGAGTTCCCCAATTCAACTGGGAAACCAACGGCCATCTATACCTGGAGAGAAGATCAACACCACCAGGGAAACAGCTGACTGAAACATAATGTATTACTATAGCACAGGGGTCGGCAACCCGCGGCTCTCGAGCCACTTGCGGCCCTTTAAGCCCTCTGCTCTGGCTCCCTTGAGCTTAGACAAAAATAAGAAGGAAATAAAATAAAAGTATTTGTAGGACTATTTATATTTTGTTGCATGGTTGAAAATGTTTCGTATCTTGTATTTTGAGGTGATACTGTGACACATAAATAAAAAACAAAACGGTTTTAATTAGGTCAACTAAAATATGCGTCACATCCTGCTACGGTCCCGCACCAGCGCCTTTTCAGCAGGCGAATAACCTGACCCCCGGCTAGATGAGCGAACTACTCTATCACACACACATACGGGTATTGGGCCGAGGGCGACACCGTACTTCCGGTATCCGCCGTTTTACGCGAGGTGCAAGCAGGCCAAGGGTTTAGCCGTACACCGTCTAGGTGTTGCTAAGCTTCCTGTACTGAATATTATAGTCTATTGCCTTAATCAATATCTAGTCAACTCTAAAATACCACATATATGGAATGGCATGATAATATTATTGTGACAAGTGGGGTATTCACCTGGTGTTTCCAGAAATTAGACGTAGATGCAGCCAAAATCGACGCAGTCTGTAAGGGCAATCTGACAACCCACACAGCTCTAGTTTACGCTGGTAACGACCTGGAGCACACCCCTCAAGTCCAGAGATGTAATCCGAAGACATGCAGCGATTTCTTCGGTCGTTAATTCAGAAAAAAAACCTAGTGCGCTCTGCCTTGCTACGTTAGCTAGCTGTTTATATTTTCAGTTCCAGGATATTTGCACCTCCATGAAAATGGCGTATTTATATATATATATATATATATATATGGCGCGTGTTGCATTGTGGGTAGCTCGTGACGTCACTGTGTGTGAAAGAATGGATAAATCAGCGCTGGGATAAATCAAAGAAAAGTACCGGAGGAACACAGGATTTAATTCTGTGTGGACAGAGTTATATGCTTTCACAGCAAACGATGCTGGTTTACCGGTATGTTTGATATGTAGAGAGAAGTTGTCAAAGGTGCTGCAGCCTTTACGTATCGAGGAAAAACACGGGAGAGGAAGACAGCTGACGATCTTCAGTCATAATTCAATGGGGAATGTAATTTATTTCAGAAAACACTTTTTGTTATATTCCATGGAATGCTCGTAACGTCCCGATAGCAATGAATATATTAAATGCTTTGACAATAAATACATACAAAATTAATTAATCTCTGGAAGCCGTAGTACTGTGCACAAACGTATCTCGTGCTCGTGCCCTCATTCGTCATGTGCGCGTTCGTGTGTGTTGGAGGAGGGGCTCTGTAAGGAAGTCTGAAGAAAGAGGCAGATTTTTTCCGGTTGTGTATTTTCAAATTCTAGCGCACTCGAGCTGGATTCTCCATTCTGGCTTTATCTGTTGTTTTGAACATTGCAGACTGAAGCTCAGCACTAACTTGTATACGTTCTTAAGCCAATACTGATCAACATCCCACCCTCCTGTGACCCATGGTTTGTCTGTCTCAGGGTTTCCGTTAGCCGGCAATTACCGTTTTTTAGCTGGTAACATTCATTAAAAAGAGGTAAATTCAAAACCTGCAGGAAACCAAAAACTGTTAATTTCAACGTTGAGCATCTTATTTACACAAATGTTTTTAACCACCTCCGATAAAGTGCAGTTTAAAGCCAGTCCTAGATTTTCGGTTGGAGGCAAGGAAGTGTATGGTAAAAAAATGTGTCATTAATATTTAAATTGAGATTTACAATAAATATTTTAACTGCTACTGTGTAAAGCTGTTAAAAAGCACCTTATTTGTTTGCAAACCAAATGTTATTGCACTTTTGTTCATAAAGCAGTACTTTTAAAATAAAAGTGTGCAATACACTACTTTTGAATTCATTATTTCATTTTAAGTTAATTATTGTTGAGGAACTATACTTGATTCATTTTGGGAATATTATTTTAGGACTTTTTTTCCGAGGATAGGGAAAGGGTTTAATGCGTATTTTAAATTGCGTCCGTACTAACCAAAATAGTATTGCCTTTTCACTTAAAATATCAATGTAACTGACTAAGAGATAGATATTTTGGTTTCTAGTTTACTCGATTCATCCCTGGCGAGTGGAAAGTCGAGCCCCATCACTGTTAACACTGTAAATCATTTCCTTTACGCCAAAGCTCTCATTAGTCAATCATAATTCAAGAATGGACTCAATGATGGAATGAGGAACACAGAACAGGGAAGTACGGATGAATGGAAACGTGTGTGTGTGTGTGTGTGTGTGTGTATGTGTGTGTGTGTGTGTGTGTGTGTGTGTGTGTGTATGTGTGTGTGTGTGTGTGTGTGTGTGTGTGTGTGTGTGTGTGTGTGTGTGTGTGTGTGTTGAATCATCATTTTTTCCCTAACGACAATGACATTTCTTCACAAGAATAAAATGATGAGCCAAGAAGTCTGAACGCGTCTCACTGGGAGTTAATGTCTACCAGCTGGACTGAACACTCTTACAACAGGAGGAGGAGGTGTGTGTGTGTGTGTGTGTGTGTGTGTGTGTGTGTGTGTGTGTGTGTGTGTGTGTGTGTGTGTGTGTGTGTGTGTGTGTGTGTGTGTGTGTGTGTGTGTGTGTGTGTGTGTGTGTGTGTGTGTGTGTGTGTGTGTGTGTGTGTGAGTGAGGAGCGGGGGGGGGGGAGAGATTACAGACAGAGTTTCCACCCCCTCCTCTGTGTGTGGTGTAACCTGCCTTATAATTTCCTGAGAAATGATTTCAGTGGAAAGTCACAGTTGGGAAACGTTCCTGCTGCAGCTTGGGACTACAGACTTTTCAAAAAGCTCTTTTAAATTAGGTTACTCGGTCATATAAAATGAACTGTGTGAACTGTTTTGGATGGGATATTTGAATGTGTGGTTTATTGACTTTCTAAATTATACAACAAGCTCCATATTTCCTTAGATTATGCCTCATCTGTGGGCGTTATTGTAGATAAGCTAAATGCAGATAAAAACGACATTCAATATCATATCAATCAATGATTTAGAGTAAGCCCCGTTCATAAAAATGTCTAATATATACTGTAGATACAGTTCTTATCACTGTTGCCAGGCTTGTGACTGTTCTTACACCTTGGCAACAAGCGACAAATGTAACAACTATTTTCAGACAAACACAGAGTTGTGTTGACTGCCAAGTCCTTAAGCAACACATGGGTCCAGCTGATCCCAGTGTGTGCATATTCGGCTGTTGTTTTTTCTGCTGATTACAGCAATTCATGCAGTAAAGACCGTCCCTCAGCAAAAGCAGTCTGTAACAAGTAGGTTCAAGACCTAAATGACCCTTTTAGCCACAGTAGCAGCTTGAGTTGAGTGAGCTGATGGTTAATGTTAGAGCTGGTTTATAAAAGACACTAGCAGAGCAACATGGTACAACAGTACAATAAGCACAGTATAAACTAGAGATACGTCAGACCAATAAATATAACTATTTATCTTTAAACATCTCACTACAGCTGAAACGAAACTAGTTCAATTATCTTATTATATGCCCCTTAAGACCTCTAATAGTCTGTTGTAGTGCACCATCAGAGTGTTGCAGTATATAGGGAGGCGTGTGGCGCAGTGGGTTGTGTGTAGGTGTTCGGATCAGGGGGTCACAGGTTCAAACCCCACTGCAGTCTGCATGTCGTTGTGTCCCTGAGACACTTCACCCCAAATTGCTCCTGTGGGGATTGTCCACAGTATTGAGTATGTAAGTCGCTTTGGATAACAGCGTCTAACAAGTAACGTAATGTACTGTACGTATATCAAAAAACATTCTCCTTGTCTCGTTATATCGCCACACATAAAAAAACTGAAACTT